GGCATATATGGAACAGATGTCTTGAGTTGACAAATAACAAAATCTACTTATATTCTTACCCTTCTTGACCCTCTTTGTCCTACTAGACCTGGATACCAAAGGAGTTTTCCTTTTACGTTTTTTGGCAGAGCCACTTCCCTTATCATCTTGCTTGACTTCTGGGGAATGAGGAGCTATTATGCAGGTAAGAAAGAAAAACAAGTTGGGCTGAAATATTTCAAGATAAAGAACTGAAGTTTAAAGAGATTAATTGGTGATTCAGTATGGATCCTGACATAGCAATAATATTCAGCTCAGGCAATAAGCGATTCATCACGATCTAGTTAAACAAAATCTATTACTGCTGTGAGCTTTACAAACAGCAGACTCCTCTGGTAAGTTGCCATAATGAATTGTCGTGAGAACAGGGTCACACATGGAACATCACCTGAATATCATTACATCTAAGGGAACCTTTCTGACTACAGCAGTTTAAAGGGTTTATTTTCATTATCAAGCTTTCCCCTATCCCACCCCTCCTCACGTTTTCTTTCACTACCATACGTAGTCAAAATTCTGACAACTGGTGATAAGATTCACACCCTAACTACTTGTTCTATGTCTAAACTACTTCTCATTCTTGTTTCACAATTTTCTGGGGGAAACATAACGAAGGTGATGTATGTGGCATCAATTAAGGATTGAAATCCCACTCTCTTCTGGTAAACCAACTTGAGAGCCCTAAGTACCTCAATTTTTTCTCAAACCAGCCTTTTGGCAAACTTCTAATAAGCTAAATCACATTGCCCAATGATAGGAAAGAGGGGACTTCAAGGAATTAAAAGATACACACATCCCCTGACCATACCTCCTGTCTTTGAAATAGGTACTATGGATTGGCTGGAATTATTGTATACCAAACACTTCCTGAAGGATTGTACATTCCAAATGTCTATCTCCCTTTAATAAGTATGGACAAAGTAGAAGAATGTTACAGCTGGCTACAAACCATCATACAGTGCATGTAATTGATACACCCTGAATCTGACTCACTTTGTCCATACAGTTGACAAATTGACTCACCGGAAGTTGATACAGGTGTTAACATAGTTACTGGAAGTCAAGGGGCATTAATTAAGGTGGCTGAACACAGTTTTTGATACCTGTGTTTCTTTCACCATTTTCTCTAAAACCCTTGATCTCTCCGTCACCAAAACTGGCAGCAAGCGATTTAACTACACAAACTTTGTTTTTTTGATAGTTAAGCTGACGTATGTGCTGTTGCCATGGAAAAATATAAACAGGCCTTCAAAATCGGTTTTGTTCATTTGTAGAAAATCTAGTCATTAGCTTCTCTTTATAATTTGCATGCAACAAGCTTGTAATGATACCCACAAGTTAACACCATTTTGTTAACAATCTAACAGAGAGATCTCTAACCATCCCTTAATGAAGGTTCACTTGATTATCGAGAATTTCTTTTGTTAAAAATAAAGTTTTTCAATACTCCAGTTACTTATTTCCTAAAGTATTTTCATGCCAAATTTTATGAAATTCTAATGAGTGGTTCTCAAGAAATAGGCTTATTTCTGAGAAAGCAATTTTCCATTCAATCTCAATTTTTTGACTTACTATGCATGCGCTGCATTTTACTGGGCTCTCTTAGTAACGACAAAAAAGCTGAGAATTGCAGGGTTCTCTGCATCTTGTTTCTAAAGATTTGTACATTGCACAGGTGGAAGAACAATAGGACACATAGTCCCCCACTAGGTTCATCCACCTAAACCCAACCCATCCATCACACCCCAGGGAAGGACATCCATCACACAGTAATCTTGCATGTGGGAAATTAACGTCTCCTACCCCTAACCCTGCAGGAGACAGGACCTTCATTTATTCGTCCCTATCCAAGAAGACCAGAATATCTAACCATTTCTTGATGTTATGAAAAGGTAGCATCTTCTCGATTATTGTAAGACCTTGAGTGTTGATCCGGCCGGGGTTCAAACCCTCGACCTCCCACACAATAGTCCAGTGCTCTATCCATTGACCTAACTGGGAGTCACCGTTAACTTTTCTAATATATCTTTGTAATGAAAGATTAAAGCCCTCAATACACTGCACCAAGTATAGAGAAAAATAGCTCAGATGTGCGGATACTTGTTGAGTAAATAAAATGACCACTCTATTGATGGCATGTTTGTTTTTTGTAATCCTTGTGCGCGCGCTGAATTGCATCAGCAAAAGTGCGCAAAAACTGTGTTCAGCCACCTTAAATGGGAAAATGACAACATGATAAATAATAAAAGTAGTTGGCTGATGACCTGGTAACAACAAAAGTGTCTAAAGTGGGATAAACATTTCCATGGAACAGATGTCTAGTTGACAAACAACAATATACAAAATCCACAGATTTCCAAAGGGTGGAAATTTACATGGTTCTTCCATTCTAAATTCAATTCACCTTTCTGTCGTTTCTCGGATATGTGAGACAAATCTACATTTGATGCAGACAGTACTAGTTCTGGATCCTTTAAGAAGGGTCTATCAGAAAATGATAGACTCGAGGAACATTTGAGTTGATTTTGTTTAAAATTGCATAATTTTTCCTCAAATTACAAATCACATATAAATGTTCCATAAACTTGAGACTTTCTACCTGCCAAGTTTTTTTCAAGTGTTATTTTAAAAACACTTGCTCCCTCCTACCGTCAAAAGAACTATGAACCAATGAAATGATGTGAATGTTTAAGGCACAGTCTCTCATGATAACATGGCAGATTGTCTAATAAAGTGCATGCATGCAGACATATCTTAATAGTTTTCCCATTTGTTTTTTTGTGTTTATTTCCATACATTGCCAATTAAGAAAACAAGCAGACAGAATAGGTTTGATTAAGGAATTGATAAAAATGACCATTTTTATCTAAATATCTAGATTAGAAATATAATTCAGAAAAAGAAAACTTAGTTTAGCCAATTTATACTCATGTATAAACGCTCTGATGCTGGTTATCCTATTCTTATTTTAAAATTAATCATCACTGTTTTAGGGTTGTTGCTGTTTCCCAAGAAAAATTACAATAAGATTAAAATACTAATTAAAACCTGATTGGCCTTTTTGTTATTCTTCTGATTGACAACTTAGCTATTGCAAGTAGGGTGTATATGACTTCTTTATCACTTTTCAGTTACAGTTAGCCTGTTTGTCTACTAGCTTACTTGTATTCATGATTGCTATGGATTCATGGACAGTTACTTATAGTAACCATTTGGTTCAGATTTGATCAAGTCAACCATTCAACTTTCTTACCCCGTAGATTGATAGATTCTTCCCTTTCTGCACTAGTAGAAGGGCCCTGTTTGGGATTAGCTTCTTGTCTCCCCTTTGTTTTGGGTCCATCTTCATTTTCTCTTCCCTTCTCTACATCAGTAACTAATTGAGGGTTAAAAAAAATAATAATCAAATTAATGTACTGCACATAAATTGATGAAAATGAGTTGGGTATATGCAGAATATAAACAGAATAAACTCTGAGGTTTTGTGGTATCAAGTCCACATGGATGAGATTCAACAAGATTCAATGCAGTAAAACAACAACTTATTCCAGCCACCCTGTTCTACATGAGACACCAATGCACATGCATGCATGTATAAAACCACATGTAAACTATGACAGAGATGTTTAAAGGAAAGGAAAAAGTTCACTTCTGCAAGCTGACGGCTCAGAAGAAAAGGTTACAGTTGCCAATCTTGCTTTTGACTGTCAAATGCAGCACTTCGGTGCGGCATTTGAACAAAATTCTGGCCCTGGCAGGCAGGAATTTGAACAAACTGATCTTCAAAAGTTCAAGTGGCTGGGGGGTAGGGGGGTGGTTTCCTGGATAATAATTATGGATTGCCCATGATGATATAGATTTTGCCCTAAAAAATGATGAATATTAAATTATTCTACTAGTCACTTCACAAAGAAAAATGTGTCTAAATAAATGTGACTGATAAACATTGCCATGGAACAGATGTCTGGTTGACAAATAACAATAAACGATATCCACAAATTTTCCAAAGAAAGTAAAGTTACAAGGTTCCATTATTCTTAAACCAAGTCACCTTTTTGTCGCTTTCCAGATTTGTAAGAAGAATCTACATTTGATGCAGACTGGTGTGGATCCTCAGTAGAGTCTGTTAGAAAATGAGAGTAAAATGTCTTCCCTAAGAACAATACTAAATGACACTGCCATGGCTTAAACACAGAATACCCCTTAAACTGGAGTCCAGCACATTAATAAAAGGGAAACCATTGTGGGTCCTATGCCACAGGTATCAAAGTGATCCAAGAAATTTTTACTAGCTCTATAATCCCCCTAAAGGTCATCCAATGAAGCTACTGATCATATGTCTCCCAGTGGAATCTTTTCGATTGTGAGGGAGAACAAAATCTGCTCACTAACTGCCACCATTTTTGACCACACCATTGATGACATGCATATGATACAATTCCTTAATGAGTCCACTTTTTGACTATGCCGATATCATCTGGGGAGACAAGCATAACACTTAAGTATCATGGACGATTTGTAACTACCACAAAATAAAGCTGTAAAAGTTATCCTCGATTTGCTGAACTACACCTCATCCACTGATGCTCTAAAAACTCTGAATTGGCCAACCCTGCTCCAACAGCGCCTTGTACATAGATATATTGCCTCCTTTAAGTATAATTATTCATGGCCTTGTGGATTATATAGTTTTAATATTTTAAGAAATTCTGACTTCCATAGATATAGTACAAGAAGAAAGAATGATTTCCATCTCCCTCGTTTAAAAACAAACTGTGGAAAACAGAGACGTTTAAATATATGCACAAAAGAAAAATTGGAATCTCTTAGAGACTTCTTTTAAAGAAATGCACTCCTTTATCATTTTTAAGCATAAAGTGAAAAACCATGGATTTAGTTTAGTCAGTGTCCTCGTACACTATTGAGTTATGGATGCACTTGGGAGGTTTGCTAAGCACTCAAGAAGCTAGAGTCGCTCTCGGCTATCGCCTCGAGCGACTCTTACGCTTCTTTCGTGCTTAGCAACCTCCCGCGTGCATCCATAACTCGATAGTGTACGCTGTGGTGTTTACCATTTGTTAAATCTCAGCAGTTTGCAAGGTACATGTTACATATGAACTTTGAAATGGGCCATAGAGTTTCTGAGACTCAGTGGTAGAGCATGCATGCATATCTGAGTGCTGAATCTGAAGATCTGAGATTTGGTAATTCTGCCAACTGTCTGCCAAAAAGTCAGCTGACTGGCTGACTATTGGCTGACAGTTGGCCAACTGTCAGTGGAGGGGAGCTGTTCTTCACAATTACTTGAGGTTTGAATCCTCATGGGGACCCAGAATTTTGTCTTTGTCCCATGCTCCTGACAAGACCGACAAAGATCTCTCTCCATTTCTTTACCATCAGCTCAAAACTTATTACCATTATCCTTATTCTACTTAAAGGGAACATTTTTAAGCATTATAGCATCCTCAAAAAAGATGTAGGCTTCTTTCTAGAGTTGGCATGATGTAATTATAGTTATGGTTTCTTTAATCGGACAGACATTCTTGGAACAAGAATGTGACTAAATGGCTGTTAATTGGTGGGTATCATATTGTAAATATCCAAGCAGCAGATCACATATTGATATCAACCTATAAATCCAAATTTGGCCCCACCCTATTCACCAGGGCCAGGTTGTTGAAAGCTAGGTTAAGGAAGCCCATGGCTAGTTTGAAATCTGATTTCAGTTCAGAGAGCTTAGTTTGAAAGAAATTTCAGAGGAATTCTTTTTGTCTCAAATTTGATAATTGGATGCTTTAAAGAGAATTACAAATTATCCGAAAAAGGCTAAAGAGTGAAAGAAATAGAAACCATGTTTAAAATTTAACCTTGAGTTAGTATAATCAGCCTTCAAACAACTAGGCCCACAGGATCATACAACTCAGCAACACTCACCAGGCTTGTATTTTCTGTCCTTTTCAACTGCAGTCACAAAAGGGTTCAAATTTTGCACCATCACTTTCTCCTCTGTAATGGAGTGCATCGTTCGCCTTAAAAGACCAGAGTTGAAGATATATCAGTTCACTGGTTCCAAAGTTTCCGGAGACATGGCAATTCATATTTTCTGTCATTTTTACGAATAAGTACAAAAAGTAAATCCCTTACTTTTGTCAGAAAAATCAATAAAGATAAGTAAAAACTTATTTTCCTTTTTGTGTGTCAACCAGTGTATTCAATGAAATTCAATCTTACATTTATTAAATAATATCTTTAGCACTTTCTGAGGATTTTTTGAGTTTATATTTCTTTACATATCTTAAGAACTGGAATTGTTATATCTTTAGAATGAAAAGTGCTATTTGAAACAATTAATAAACAGCTAGCATATATCAAATTGTTCAAACTACTTGTTTTGTTGTTTATCTTAGCTTATGGTTATGGGGGGGCATTTGTTTGACAATTTGGCTTAATAAGGGTCAGTGGGACCTAAAATTCAGGGGAGCTAGGGCACTTATTAGAGACTGTTTGTGGAAATATGGTAAGTTAATGTATACTAACTATATCACTGAAACCATAAAACTTGATCATGCATACTACTACACCTTATTAAAATGGCCTTGGGTAGAGCTTTTTTATCCAGAGTTACAAGTAGATCCTGTTCAGAATTGTAACCCCTTTCCCTAAATTCTTTTTCTAATGCAGCCTTTACATTTCCATTCTCAAAGTCATCTAAAAACTGCAAAAGTTTCTCCTCGCTGCCACAATCAAGCTCAATAATAACCGATCCAAATTTGATACTCGAAACTTCACCCCATATTTTTAAGGCCACTTCTACCGCTTTTTCCACAACTTGCGGTTGATCTAGGCAAAATTTGGTGACACCACCAACAGCAACAATTCCAGCAACACCAGCAGTTGTCACTATTATTCTTGCACTCCATTTATCATTGGTACTTATTTCAGTCCCAGCAGGAGTCTTAATTCTTAGGGCATGATCAGCTCTGGAACCCTCAGCTTCAAGACCTTCGTTCATGTTATTAGCCATATCAGGACAATCTCAACAGTTTACTCTACAAAACACAAATAAAAGACTCAGAAAAAATCATAAAGAATGTAAGGAATGGTATAATAATAAGTATCAATAATAGGTATTACCCACACTGGTGGATAACTTGCACCTTAAAAGCAAAGAAAATTTGTACAGAAAGGCGAATTCGTGGCCACATTTTGTGCAAGCACTCACTCAGCATCACATTAATTTCTCAAAACTGTTTCTCTGTTGATTTCTCCAGTTCTACTGGGCCTGACAGGTCCCTAAAATGGTAAAATTCTCTTTAGTTCAGGCTAGTGTTAGCTGGAGATTTAATGCTGATGTGCCAGATATCCTTTGATTATTTTTGTCACTATCAAGGTTTTGTTTACACATGTGGAGAAAAGTCTGTTTGTCGCACAACTAATTATGCAGGAAATAAACTCAAGTCGGCATCATGTTTTCATGCCACTCTGTGGCACTCTTAATACAAAAAAATTCATTTAAGAGGTGGAAACACAGGTAGGTGAGAATTTTTTCAATTCAACTGGTAATAGATTTTAAAATTGTCACATAACCTGTTCCTCCCTATTACCCACAGTAGTGTGTGTTTGTAGAGGTAATCGCATGGAGCGGAGTAAAATTAAGGATTAATATCACGCATGTTTTCAGAAATTGCTAAAATTGCCCAAGTCACATAGCAACAAGGGCAATTTCAGCAACTTCTGAAAACACAAGTGATATTAATCCTTAATTTTACAAAGATCCATTACAATTACCTGTTAATGAAATAGAGGGGAAAAATACTGAATTTCTAAATCTGCTCTTGTGTAATCAGTCACAAAAAGCCATTTAATGTTGACAGAGTCAATTGCCACAATTGCGCAAATGATCACGAGCTGAATGAAATTTTATTTTTACACATACATGCTAACAAACTTTCAACTTTGAAAATATAAAGTTAGTGTTTTTTCAAACAACCTCAGGATCACGCATGAGCAAGTCATTTTTTCCCTCTCCATAGGCAAAATTAAGAAAAAAATACCCTTTTCATTGACCAATCAGCATTCAGCAATTTTGCCCTCTATGTTATTAAATGCAAAATCATCAGATTACCCACGGGTATACAGCTGGAATTACAGTATTTATAAAAAAAACTCACACAATTTGCAGCAATGAGACAACACCATTTGATAGAAACCACTCATTCACAAATTCCTTAAAATCTGCCCCATCTCACTTGATCCTATAGCAGTACTATATATTTTCCCTCAGTTAAATATGGATAAAAAGATATTTTCATGGTAAATTAACCAGGTAGTTTAGGTTACTGTGGATGCATGTATCAGAGGTCAATCTATCTATGGTTTCCCTCCCTTTAAGCTGTCAAGTCTCAAAAATGAAGTGGACCAATTGCAAGGTTCATAGTTGACATGCAGGAGTCCTCAAAACAGCTTGGATCAGCTATCATCATGATGTTTAAAGTGTTTATTATGCTCATCTATTGCACACAAACATGGTAGAGCAATGGAGGGCCAAATTAGAAGGTCTCACTGATGTTCAACACTGGCATACTCAGAGAAAAAGAACTCTGAGCATTCCCAATAGGAGTCAAACCTACAATCCTCTGACTTAAGTACTTTGGATGTCCTACAACTGAGAAATAGGAGAACCACGACAGGCAACTTGCAGGCTGTTTGACTGAGTCCATGTTGACACTCCTAGGCAAGGAATGTCAATATTTGATGCTTACACACAAATATTAAGCCTATGGTGTTCAAGTCAAAGAAAAACATCTTTCTTTATTTCTATTAGCTAGCCAAATTTCACTATCCCTCTTGTTCTGCCAACAATCACTTCACCTGACCAGTTTTCAAAAAGAAAGCACACTTCGTAACTAGTTAAGGAGAATAATGAGTCTGATCTCAGTAGTTCAAGAGAAAACTGACAAGGAGTTCACCCACCAATCCCTTTTTTCTTCAAACTTGAAAAATCTCTCAACATAAAATGCAACTTTGTTACACACATCATGAACACAAAATCTAGCAAAACGTCTCCCTGCATCAGGAAAAGAAAAAGAAATTCCTTTTGTGTAGTAGCATCAGAAGATGATTATATTGATAGTAAGGGTTTAGAAATTCTCTCACAAGAAACTTGTAATATGAATTTTGGGAGCAAACAAAGAAAGGATTGTCATACCCTTGCATGCACCTGCAAAAGATTACTGATCAATTCACCAGATTTTTCTGTGCCCAAGAGTTGTTACAAGATGCCACAGCTGATTTATTCGCTGTTCGATGAATTTTAAGCAAGAGATCAGAGCTCCCTGCAATCTCACATTATCAGTGAATTTGAAACAGCTTAAAAACACTGTCAAGTTTCACGCAGAAGGGAAGTTAAAATCTTCCACAAAGTATTAAAATTTATTTACCTTCAACTATTGGCATTGGGGTTCATTATATTAGAAACTTATAGTGGCTCTAAGAGACACATCGATTTTTTCCGTCGTAACTTACCAACTTACGCGCGATTGCAACTCATTAACTTGTGATCGCAACTTACCATCTTGCGATCGCTCCCTTACTAGTAACTTGCAATCGCAACTTACTATCTTGCCATCGTACCTTAGTAACTTGCGATCGCAAGTTAGTAAGTTGCGATCGCAAGTTACTAAGGTGCGAAACCGAAAATCCAACGCCCTCCCCTCTCCCCGCGACCCTCGAAGATCTAGAGTCCTTGAATCACAAACCAACATAGTTAAGTTCTGGAAGTATCGATTACCGTCGGTAAACACGATAACATGATAGTGAAAAGAAATTTTAATTCATACCTCTCACGACAATAGAAAATTATCCAACTTGAAGAAACTTACCAGTTTGTCTCGCAACACTGTGCCACGGTCTAACGAAGAATACTAACCCATAATAATTTCAAGACTCAAAAAGGCGAAAAAAAAAAAACGCGGGAATTTATTTGCATATTGTATTTAATTATGCCAAGCATCTCACTGTGGCACAGGAGCTAATTAATTTTCCACCCAAATCATGCTTAACAGAAATGTGCCGATCAATTCTACATTTCTTAAGAATGGGATGATTTTCGACGTTTACTTTGTGTTCCACGGGTAAGGTTGCGTTCTAAATACACCAGAAAGAACAGGAGAGTAACTAATGTGCGAGCCTGCGAGCTGGAGCCGTTTTTAGCGAGCCTCGAGCCTCTTCTTGCGAGCCACTGCTTGTTCTATATCTTTCCATTTTCTCTCCTCATTTTATTCCAACAGTCTTTGGCTCCTCTCCAGAGAGCATTTGAAGGTGAAAATCTGAAAAAATATCAAACGAGACGCTCGAGGAGCGTTCACTCGGGCTTCGTAGGGAGCGCTTTACTTGAGAATTTACCACGCGTAAAATTTATACGAACCTACAAATCCTTATTTTTACATAAGCCCAGATTCCTTTGTTCTTTTCGGGGGGAATATATTACATAACCCTCGAATCAGTCCGAAAAGCTGGGTGCGGCTTTGATTGTTTGAAGGGAAGAGCGTGGCTAATGAACAGCTAATTGAAATGCGGGGGGGGATTATGTATTAGTATGCAGGGGGGATAAGTGACTTATTTCCCTCGCATTTAAATTACCTGTTCATGAAGAACAAATTTACTAATGTTTATCTGGAAATATTAAATACGACGCTACAATTTCTGAAATTAAACTGAGCAAGAAAATTTAGGGGCACATTCGCAGATTTTCTTGATCGGTGGTTAGCGCTTTCCACTGAGGCCCCCTAAAAATTAGTTGCTGATCCTTGCAAAACATCATTCCAAACTCGTGTACTCCATGAAGTTGCCCTTTTAGTGTTTTGTGGTATTCTTCCTTCATTCCTGGCCTGAATTTCCTTGTCGGTTTCAGTAGTGATCCCTCGGCCGGAATCTTCTTTATCTGTAAAAAGGTCGGTCAAAAGATCCTCGGTGCGTAAATTTAATTTGTCAACTGCTTTCTCGTTGTCTGCACCCGCAAAATAAAGATTCAAAGTTGTTTTCCGAAACCTCAATGGAGGTGTCGCCACTAAAAAATGCTTTGAGTGAATCTGAAGATCTGAGGTTTGGTAATTCTGCCAACTGTCTGCCAAAAAGTCAGCTGACTGGCTGACTATTGGCTGACAGTTGGCCAACTGTCAGTGGAGGGGAGCTGTTCT